GGGGGGGTTGTGCCGTAGGCACGGAAAATGTTTAAATTTGAATCCCAGAAATGGCATTTGCAGCATTCTGAGACACGCATAATCAGAAAACCTAGAATTCCGGGCGCCAGAGCATAGATTATAGATTATACCAGATGTCTCACTGTGTATCTATCCCTATGATTTTCGTGTCCGCGATTTTCGCGAGGCTATCACGCCAGATGACGCGTGCAACACTTACTGCCAAAATGGCGCTTACTGCCAAAATGCATGATTGCTCACGTTTCATGGCGTGGATTAGTGCCAAAATGGCGGCCAACGCGTGCTCATAAAAAATCGCGGACACAATTTTGGCTGAGTGACACATCTGGTATGATCTATAATCTATGGCCAGAGTATGCCTGTTCGCAGGTAGTGCTGGGAATAATATAGTTAACAACAAAAATCATGACGTACCAAAGACACCAAAAACGGATCAAAATTGTATTTTAAAATACTTAAAACGTAGAAAAATTGGGAATCGACTCGCATTACCTCAATCCCATTCCCATTGTTGAGGACTTCATTTCCCATTCCCAGTGGCCAAATCCCAGTCCCAGCAACCCAAATCCCATTTCCCAGTCTAAAAATAGATCAATCCCAGTTCCCATTTTACCCCTTCAGGACCATAGAGATTATAAATAACACTAGAGGAGGCATTGTAATCTTAATTCAGTAAAAAAAAGGGAACGCGACTATTGGGGGGCAAATTCAAGTCCCGGATGTGTATTCGTGTTCCCATTGGTGACGAGTTTCAAATCAGCCAATGAGAGCACGATTTTATATCCGGGACTTGAATTTGCCCCCCATTAGCTGCGTTCCCAATTTTTAAACTCGATGCCTCCTCTAGTGTTATTTATAATCTCTATGTTCAGGACCCTCCTATGACTTTCATTCCCATGGCCTAACGCGAATAAACGGTAAGACATGTCACTAGTTGTGGCGGAAGACAGACGATCGTTCTCGCTTGACAAGATCGTCTACCGTTATTAAAAACGTAAAAGTATAAGGTCAATACAAAGTTTCCAGGGGTAATTACGATCACAAACGATCATTTGCTCTTTGGACTTTGGTCACACTCATTCTCTCTAAATTGGTCACATTGCTGCAAGATGAAGTACATCTCATCATGCCGAACAAAACACCGCAGACAATTAAATTCAGCAGGCGCAAATGTTGACAGTTTGTTCAATATATATAATATGCCGCACACGTGTTTAATAATGGAGGCTGGAGCAGTGGAGTTGTAAAATATATTTTCATTTTATTATTTATAAATAGTTAAAAAATAAAGAAATCTATAGGAATTAGTGCAGGTGTTTTTTTAATATTTTGATATAATCTTATTTACTTTTTAAAAGTATATCCATGTCAAATTGTGTATTAAATTTAAATTCAAACTGTCTATTTTTATACAGTTGTATATAATATAAAATTAATACAAAGTTTTATATTTTAAGTTTAGACAAAGCAAATATGATATTAACCTAGAGAAGGCTGGAACTAATGCTAATGAAAGGCTGCATAGCATGGCCTTGGGTCAGGTAAATAATCTATTATAATAATATATTAAAGGTGATCTACAGTCCGTAATGTAAACAAAGCCTTTGTTTACATTTTTGTGTCCAAAATATTGAGCTTTATTCGATAACTATTTTTATTTTCAAGCTTCTACAGTATAATAAATGATCAAGAAACAACAATCAGGCTTTTCAAGAACTCAAAACATAGTTAAATTGTTTGCATCATAAAAAGTGGACTCATTTGTGCACGTGCGCAGATCGGACTGTAGATCACCTTTAAATATTTTAATCATAAAGCTATAGGCAAGTATGGATGCAGCATGTAAAAGATTAAAAACAAGTACGATATGGGGTTTCGTCCAACAACTTTATTGCTTTTAAAATATTTATAAATATGTAAACATACATTTGAAAAAATTGGCAAAGGCGCGAACAGGACTGAAGTACCCATGCGAGGTGCCTTCCCAAACAAAACTTTAAAAGTAACATCGACCAACATTAGACTATATATTAATAAATTATGTGTAAAGCCAATTCTCAATGACAAGGTCAGTCATGGGGTATGTTGCTGGTGATGTTAATAAACTTGGCATCCGTTGTTGTAATCTCTTAATAACACCCTAACATTTGCCCTAACCCTCACAACAAACACCCATGAGTTAATCAAAATGGGTCAAATGTGGGGATACAGATGTGGGCTATTATAAAACAACATTACAAACCATCCTTAATTAAATCCTGGCTGGTCCTTAATTAATCCATTGAGCGCAAGAACTCTCCCCTCAAGTGATGAGTTTAATTGTCTGGCATTAGCCATTAGACAGAGTAAAATAATAAAATAGGGCAATATACTTTATACACTTAATTATAGTGTCTACTCCCAAGGGAAATAGTTAATTTTGTGTTCCGAGAGTGTCAGTGTTTTGCAAGATAAAGTTGAGGGAAATATTGAGATTCAAGGGGAAACAAAACTATTTCCCGAGGGAACAGGCATCAAGTGTTTGTGGTGTTACTCTGAGTGTGCATCCATACCGGGCAAGCTGAAAAGTTTGCCTGACCATGGTGTGAATTGAACCTGAGACCATTTGGATACTAGTCCAACGACGGTAAGGCAAACTTTTCAGCTTACCCGGTGTGGAGTAACATCACAAACATCATATTCACTTGAATACATAACATCAACACACACAAAAAGGCATTAAGCAGTGTTGTAACGAGTCACCTACAGGTCAAGTCACGAGTCGAGTCGAGTCACGAGTCGAGTCATTTCAGTTTTTGATCGAGTTGAGTCAGTGGCTTCACTCGAGTCGAGTCAGCGACTTCATTCGAGTCAAGTCGAGTCACTGATTTAAGTCAAGTCGAGTCAATTTCTAGACTTGACTTGAGCTACCCTAGCTTGCAGTCAGAAATTAGTAATCAAATTTGTGTTTTAAACTAATTACTTTAGTCATTTAATAATGTTCAGTATGTGGGCAGCTATGCCTATAGGCTGTGCCAATATCACAGTTCCAGTCAATATTAAGTACAACCACATGAGATGTCTCATCATGCCTGTTGATCGAGTGCATACGTACATACAGTACAACTAGCAAAACTTGCAACTGGAGTCAGAATTAACAAAGAAACAAAGAATAGACTTTAATTAACAACGCTTTGTAAGTTAATTTCAAATTATATAGCCCTTCATAAATACCAAAAATGAAAATAGCCTGTCAGAATTAGTATAAGTACAAAAAATTTTGAGACTCAATTTTAAAAACTGTGGCACTAGCGTTGTTTCTAAAAACAGAAATGTAATATAGGTATGCCCGTCAGGAATATATTCTATGCAAATCCCATATATTTTCTGATAAAGTTTCAAAGTTCTCATTGTTTACAGGGTTCATTGTTCTTCCCAAGCAATGCAATCACAATAATTGTGATGAATTTACTGTGTACAGGTTGTAGCTGAGTTGACTCGAGTCATTTACGGCAAAATCAGCAAGTCGAGTCCGAGTCGAGTCATTTGGGGCTATTGACTCGAGTCATTTTTTGTATTGGACTCGAGTCGAGTCGCTGAAAATAGCGACTCAAGTTGACTCGAGTCAGAGTCAATGACTCGACTCATTACAGCACTGGCATTAAGTGTTTTGTTATATGGCGACAAAAGAAAAATCAACAACATTCATACAATTGTATTTCTTGACAATGACTCTATAATGTAAATAATGAGTTTAAAATTAAAAGAACCTACTCATGCAAATGGTTTCAGCAGCATAACCTGTTGTCTGTCTGTATATTTTAGATTCTTTATTTTACACAAACTTGGAAAATCATAGTTGCAAGTTGTGGATGGATGCATTCAGAGTAACATCACAAAACATCATATTCACCTGAGTACATAACACCAACACACACAGACACATATAATATGTACATAGCTGGTCATGGCGGGCAACATATATTTTTTCACTTGTTGCCTAGTGGGATACATTGCATATCTCTAAAGTTGTGTGATCACAAATCAGCCAATCATGTTTGACATTCAGTCTAGCTATATAACAATACTGTTTATTCACTTTTCCCCCAATGGCCTCATTTCCATGTTGCCTCATTTAGCATGGCAGGTGCATGGACATGAAGGTTATAACGATTTCGGATTAACTCCATGTTTTCTTCAAGAATTTGCTCTTGATCTTGAATCCAATCCACAAGCCTATTCTTAACCCTATTTTGCACAAAACATGAGAAAATAGCCACATGAAAAGAAGACCATTGGGGCAAGAGTGAATAAACAGTACAGTCTATCAAGTCCATTTGGACTTTTTGACAACCATCTTTCTCTACTTTATTTAAATAATTTAATGACTTATTGAAATAAAATAACATATTTTTACACTATTAAAAATTGCTTTATATGTGTGGTAGATAGTTATATATTTGCAATCACATCAATGATGTATTGTAAAATATCCTGGTATTACACAGAGTAAAGTGGTCAAGATTAAGTAGGGCCGGCTCATTGAGGTTGTGAACTTAATTTAATCAACCTGAAATACAGTAGTCGAGCCTAGAGATATCTTGTTCTAAAAGGCAAGGTAATGATTGACAAAATTTGGAGTTACTTCAGATAATTAACTGCCTCTATTAGAAATCATCTTTGTCTGAGAAAATGTGATTTAAAAATGTTACTGGTTATTCAGTGATTCTTGTATATCATTACGTACGTAAAAAACGTGTTTTTATGTACACAAATCAAGTACAAAAAAGGAGAATTCTTTTATATTTCAAATGTATATTAACTGGAATTTTTATTTTAGCAAGTCCAGCTTAGAGCAATAGAGGGCAAATTAATATTCTTTCGCTATCTTTACCATAGCTGCATGCAAATATAGATGAACAATATAATTATGTAATATACTTGATGATCTATTAAATATTCAGCCGGCGCTGCGGTCTCTGAATTAGTATCTAATACATTCCAATTTGTAGAGTGGCTAGACCTTGCTTCGTAGGCGACTGTATTATCTTTTCATCATCTTATCATACTAGGTAGCTTCTCTGATATAAAATAAGTCTTTAAGTTTGATGAAATATTATTCAAATCTGTTGCAACGCTTTCGTGCCGCTTGCAATCTTCTCAGCGGATGACGACACTTAATTACCACGTATATGTATGCAAATTCGTTTCGATAATTATATATATATATACATCATTGCTTCACTTTGCTTTCAGAATAGAGGAAAAATAGGTTTAGAATAAAAATCTGTATTGTTCAGTACAGGTGTACTTAATAACGTGTAGACAAGGCGTAATATTAATGTATGTATATAGTATGGCTATGCAATCATATGGAAACCGCTTGTTAAATGAATCTTGTTTTCTTCTTAGGAGTGCTTTAAGATATAGAACTATACGATGCATTGCTAGAAACGAGTATCCATCTCCACACGCGAATCAAGTTGTGAAGTTGCTCGAGGATTACAAGTTTGGATCAAAACACATAAGCCTGGACGGGCATGACTTGAGTATTAGCGATATTCATAGTTTGTTCACTGGCAAGTTTCATTCAGCTAGTCTTACTGATCAAGCTTGGGAAGCAATTAAAAACAGTCATGAGTATCTAGATCAGAAAATGTCTGAGGGAATATGTGTCTACGGTATAAACACGGGTTTTGGTGGCAGTGCTAACGTTCGGTATCAGAAAGATGTTGCTGTAAATGCAACGTTGATTACTCATTTAAATGCTGGTTTTGGTCAGCGGCTTCCCCTAGCTTTAGTTAAAGCTACAATGTTAGCCCGAGCTAATAGTATTTCACTTGGTTACTCTGGTGTCCACAGTAATGTTGTTGAGCTGTTAGTTGAGTTGCTAAATAATAATATCGTACCGTATGTTCCTAAGCGAGGGTCAATCAGTGCCAGTGGTGATCTCATGCCTACATCTTATATTGCTGCCTGCCTTGAAGGAAGACCTAATTGTAAGGTGAATGCTAACGGGATTGACACAATTGCTCCTGTGGCTCTGAAAGAAGCGGGACTTTCTCCTGTTGTGTTTACTGGCAAAGATGCTTTAGGTGTTATAAATGCCTCGTCATTTGCAGCCGTTCTTGCTGCAGAAATATTGTATAAAGGCAATATAGCTATCTTGTTAACCCAAGCAGTTGTAGCTCTGACCGTTGAAGCATTACAAGGTCGTTTAGAATCATTTCATCCTCTGATACATCAAAAATGTCTGCCACATGTTGGACAGCAAGAAGTTGCTTCTAATATCTTGAACTTTCTTCAAGGTACAAAGATGGCGATCTCGCAACCCGAGATTGAAAGAGGCTTATGTGAAGGCGAATTGCGTCAAGATCGTTATGGTCTGCGGACTTCTCCTCAATGGCTAGGTCCCGTGTTAGAAACGGCAATGGAATCTATAAGAAGAGTAAACATAGAACTAAATAGTGCTAATGATAATCCAATTATAGATTGTAAAGATGATGAAATTTTGCATTGTGGTAATTTTCAAGGTACTTCGACTACGGTTGCTATGGATCAATTTCGACAAAGTTTGCAACTTTGTGGAAAACTTCTCTTTGGTTTGATGTCGGAAATAATAGACTGTAACATGAACAATGGACTGACTCCTAATTTATGTGGTGGCAATCCTAACGTTGATATGGGTTTCAAGGGAACTGAGGTTGCCATGGCATCATATACATCCGAATTAGATTTCCTTAACAGTCCAGTTTCTAATCATGTTCTTAATGCAGAGATCAGAAACCAAACCGTCAACTCGCTCGCTTTGATTTCAGCACGCATGTCTGAAGATGCTCTTGAAATTTTTCAAATGCAACTCACCAATATATTGCGGGCTTTGGTACAAGCTGTGGAACTACGTTGGGTTAAGACGCGAGTGGAGTCGACAATTTCCGAGTTATTACCGAATGGTAGCACGTGCGTGAGTCAAGCTGTGTTATTCAAACTTGTTCCATGGTATAAGTTCTTCAGTTGTCCACAAGATGCCATTAATCAAGTGACTAACGAAGTTCCTGGCTCTGATGTTGTTACTTTAAAGAGTCCTGGCTTTCTTGAGACGATAGAGAGAGAAATGGACACCTTAAGAGATGGTTTGAAGTCTGGTGAATTGGTGCAGCATATTGCGCAAGATATGGGGCAAGGTAAGATGTAACCAAGCCTTGACACTACAACATTATACCTAAGATGGATCCCTGTGAGATCCAGTTGTGATGTTTGGATTGGAGCGGATGTTTTGTGATATACCTTTTGATAAATGAAATTTTAGTTAACTTTTCTTATTACCTTAGGGGCCGGTCATTATTTATGCCCAACCTTAAAATGCCCGCGCCGGACCAAAAACGACACAAACGAATTCCATTCAGTTGTCGAACATGTCCTTTACCACTTCTGTGACATGAGTTCGGTAACTGCGTGTGAAAGTTTTTGTAGTCTAAAATTTCATGTTATCTGCACAGTCATGTACTTTCTTATTCGCCTCGTGGCAAATCGGAAAACGGTCAAGATTGTGACTCTGGTTGATTTACATTATACAATTACTTTATGGTTTCCGTGTTTGGATGGCCTGATCCAAACACGCGGGAATGTTGCGAGACTTAAGAAAAGCGCGCGAAACACGAGCCGAAGGCGAGTGATTTTGCGCGCTTTTCTTAACTCGAGCAACATTCCCAAATGTTTGGATCAGGCCATCCAAACACGGAAACCATAAAGTAATTGTTTTATAAAATAATAACAACACGATAGTCTTCCGTGTTTGGATGGCCTGATCCAAACACGGGTTTCGACCAATCAGAGTACGCGTTATATACATGTTATTTTATAAATTGTATTGACATATGACTGTTGACATTGCCTTCTAGTTTTCAATATTTGAATGAGACATGCTTTGGAATTGATCTTTTTATTACCCAGCCCTTGAATGGTTTTGTTTTTCGTTTAAACCCAACTTTTCTTCGGTGCCACCCACCCGAGCAGTTGCGAAAATGCAATTTAAAAAAAATGCAGGTCCGCAAGTTCGATTCCTACCAGACAGAGCCTGAAATAATTTTTAAATTTGTCCGGCAAAACTTCCAAGCAAAATGAAATTTGACCGGAAATTTTCAAATTTGGTCGGAAATTTTTTAGTTTAGTTTGATCCCCTCCGTTGAGTAAATTATGTCAAGCATGCAGTAAATCACTCTACTTGTAATAAACAGCCTATTTAACTGTCCTGATGAAGGGCCTTTGCTCGAAACGTCGAGGAAACGCATTCTTTATCTTCCAGGTCGTCAAATTAACAACAATGAAAGCAACCACTCTGACTCGTAACTCATGCACTGTCACACATTTAAGTTAACTAAACTTTGTTTAAAGCATACTCTGATCGAAGAAACTTTGATAACATTCCAGTTGATTACTCTATAGAAGACTAGTATAGATAATCTAAGACTATAGATACTGCACGAGTTCACTGTGCTGAGCGCCGACCTGATAATTTAAAAAAAACAGATTATCTTTTTTTTCAACATTTGTCCGGACGAAATTTCCGATCATTTCAGCATTTGGACGGAAAAACTGGAATTTGGTCGGAAAACCGTCGACCGCCGGCCGTTATTTCAGGCTCTGCCAGAGGGCCTATAGTTGCATTTGCAACTGCTGCCGGTAACTAGGTCTAATAAATGTATGAAATTTACACTCGAAATTTCCATCTACAAAACATATTATCATTACCCTCAGGGCTGATGTTATTTATATTTTAAATTTTGTGCCGCCATTATCTCATATCATTACCGGAGAACTATTTTGCACACTAAGTGTTAAAATGAATAAATATACATTTATCGTTAGTCACATTTCTGTACGATCGTCTCCTATAACGTTATTGAGGAGACGCCGCATATACAGTACTGCCAAGAAATAACTTGTCCCCGCGTCTGCCCGCGTCCTGCCTCCAGAGCGCCCGCGTCTTGCGTCCACTCTGCCCGCGTCCTGCCTCCAGAGCGCCCGCGTCCGGCCTCCACGACGCCCGCGTCTTGCGTCTGCACTGCCCGCGTCCTGCCTCCAAAGCGCCCGCGTCCGGCCTCTAGTTAAAAACTGCGTCCGCTTGGACGCAGTCGTCGTAACATAATCGGAAAAACGAACTAATATTTGCATCATACTCGTAGTTTGTCGTGAGAATACAGATCAATGTCACTGATCGGAGAAGCAAAGAATAAAAAGTTGAATCCGAAATCGAGTTTCATTTAACCTAAGCGTTACACTTAGTATAACCATTTTATAATGTTATACGTTATACTACAGTAAGCGTAGTGCTTTCACAATGCAATCACACGTACTTGAGTGGCGATTGAAGCGTATATGACTGTATATTGGAGCGTAAAATAGACATAAACTATATATAAATATAATGTAGCCACATATACTAAACTCAGTGAGATCACGGCTACAACGAGTATATATCTCGCAACACATTCATTTGCTACTCAAATTCAGACTTACCTCGTAGAAGATTGCCGATTAGTTGATATGCAATTCTGTATTCTCCGTAACTCGTCAGTATATTAAAACGAAGATGCTCATTTACAATATATATACAGTGCTTTTGATTTTTCATATAAAATACCATTACTACGAGCCACTATATAATTTTATTTACAGCAACAAGTTTGTGTTGTTTTTCCAAATGCACATGGTGATATGTCATATAAATTGCCAATTACCATATAATAGTAGTACTGTAAGGAACCGAAAATGATGTCGAATTATTATTCGCTATTTAATCCTTGGAGGAATTGATTATTAATTTTTAGTTGAAGTTATTCCTTCATTTCTTCATTTGTAATTTGTATATGGTGATTACATACTCTACCAGTGACGAAACTAGCCATGGTAACTGGTCATGCTATGCTAATAAACCTGCATCGAAATAGGTTAAAAACAATACATTTCTAAAGTTTTGAATAATGCAAATCATTGAACATTTGCATAGCGCGAACTGTTGCTATGCACTGTTCTCTACAATTAAATCAATCTTATATAATCAATTTAATAATATATTTTATATTTAAGTGCCGGACAAGCTGTGTGTATGGTAATGTGTATTATATACATTTCTGATTCAATATTTTGTTCAGGTACCAAGCTGCTTTACCTATTTGTGCGAGAGACACTGAGTATTCGTTTCAATGATGGTGAAGAAACATTGGATACCAGCTTACAGTCTATATACGATGCTACGAAAGATGGTCGTCTGGATGACATAGTACTAGCACTGGCATATCTTACTAAAGACTATTTAATTGAACAGGAGAGTGTCATGTGATTTAATCTAATGTTTTCACGTTGACTCAAGTTAGCATTTTAACACTATATTTACAAATGTATTTAATTTTAGAAACGTTATATGTAGTTATATCCACCTTGTATGTAGATGGTAAAAGTGTTGCCTAAAGATGGGGCTAAATCTGTTCGGCGGATGTGCGGTTTGTTTAAATTCTGAGCGCACTATATTCATAAAATATGATGTACTGTACTTAGTTAATATCTAACATCGTTCTGGTTCGCTATGCTTTTATTTTAAATGAATATAGATTAGAGTTTCAATTTAGAAGATGCCGAAACAACGCGAAATTTGGATATTCTTTGCATCAGAGGGCCCTCACATAGCACATGCGCAGAACAGCCTTGACCCAGTCTTTAATTAAGAGGTTGAAAATGTTTTTAATCATAAGCGTTTCTGAACAGCAGATTGAGGTGAACGAAGAAATGTTGACAATTGAAGCAAAAGAGAACTGAAGTTTATCTCTCAAGTTTATTTATTTTCCACTAAATACAGTACAATTCTAGTACATATAATGAGAATAATTATTAACATTATTTTATCACACTGATAACTGTCAGTTGACCATCATAGCTGCTGCACGTTTGTGTTGTATGTAAAGTTGAAGAAATGGAAAATTGCTGTAATCTGCAACAAAAGTTGGTTATTTTCAACCTATGGTTTCAACGCATATTAGTTCACATTGTGCACGCATTCTTGAAACTTATTCGAGAACAAATTGGATGATAAACCCGTGTTTAAATGAGCTTTTGTTGAAAGTTACAGCAATTTCGTCTTTACTTGAAACTATTTATTGGAAAATCTCATTCTAATATAAGATCATCATTCCTCGACTCAAGCTGTTTTAGGCTGGAATTGCACTATACCGGATTGATTTTCATACCGGATTAATTTTCACTCCGAAGTACAAAAACAAGGGTGTTTACACTATGCATGCCGCTTCGCTCTGTTGCCAGTTCGTGTCTCGCTGTCGCCATAGAAACAAGTAATATTTCTGGCCAGTATACTAAAATTATTAAAAACAAGACGTAACACACGTGTGGTAGATTTTCGTTTGATCCCCACAATAAGAGCAAACTACGCATTATATATTGTGTTTTGTATTAAACCACAGAATAAAGATCAGTACCAGAAGGGCCACTCAGCGGTGCAACGTGTAGCCATTTTTTTTATGCAAAAATATGCAATTGACTGGCCAGAAGGGGGCCTCCAGCCAATACAGCGCGTTTATTGGCCAGAAAATGTAATCGACTGGCTAGGAAGATGGCGGCCAGCGCCACAGAAACTTCAAAGCTTCCAACATAAGTGGCCCTTCTGTGTGGATCTTTATTCTGTGCCCTTCCCAAATCGCTCTCAGTTACATATATTCCCAATAACAACATTCCTTTTATCTAGCATGCCTGTCAATCAATACCATATATGGTAGTCACCTCATCTCTAAATTTAACTATTAATTACATAATGTCAACCTTTTCCCGACACACTCCCCCTATTTAGAACGTACGTTTTAAATATAACTTATCTGTCTTATATACACACGAACGTCTACACGTATTTCACCGTCTCTACCCATCAAACTATTCTTCCTCTTTCTGTTCATAAATTAGTTCAATATTCTTCCTTGCATCAACAGCCGCTCTTTGGTTTGAACTCCTTTTGCAGCAGGATTCAATGGAACAGTTTCTTGATTGCTTTCTCTATCACAATGCAATTCCAAAGGGTAAAGAAATTGTATTGGTCTTTCGATGAATGATTGTCCTGCACGTAGTCTAACTCCACGAACCACTCCGTCTCTTCCGGGTATAAGTTGTTCAACAATCCCAATTTTCCACAGTCTACGATTCTTTTCATCACCTTTGATCAACATAACATCACCCTTTCTTAGCCCTCTCTCTTTCCCGTTATGTGTTAAATTATGCCTTTCGCGAAGTGCTCTCATGTATTCTTGTCTCCATCGTTGCCACAACGCGTCCTTACATTTCTTCATTACAAATACTTCACCCTCGATTGGAAGCTGTATAAAATGGCGAGAAATCAATTTGTTAAAATGATTGGGAAAGCTAAAAGAGATTATTTTAAAACATCTGTTGCTGATAATAGTGGGGATTCTAAAGCAATTTGGAAGTTAATAAAATCTTTAGGCGGTAATATCATAAGTTCTCAGCCTTCATTCATCTCTGATGGAGACAGATTAATTAATGATGTTAGTGGAATAGCGGAATTTTTCAATGTTCATTTTACAACAGTTGCGAAGAAGATTCAATCAAATGTAATTCGGGTGTCGAATGATTTGAATTTATCCAAGTTGCGAGACTTTGTAAGTTCAAAAATTAACTTCCATACAACCTCGTTCAGCATTCCTCCTGTTACTAATGACTTTGTAATTGAACAATTGTCAAAGATGTCTGCAAGTAAAGCAACTGGTGTTGATGGTATTAGCATTGGCTTATTGAAAATTGGTATCAACGAACTAGCACCAAGTATTGTTAGACTTGTTAATCTTTCATTTGCAACGCAAGAATTTCCAACTTTGTGGAAGACGTAATGTCTATTTTTACATGACTATTTTTACATTTCGGTTTTGCCTGTTCTTTCAAAAATTATCGAAAGGCATGTTTATGACAGCTTATTTCACTATTTGAAGCTGCATAACTTGGTTTATGCAAGTCAGTTGGATTTAGGGCAAATTATAGTACTGAAACTGCGCTCATAAAGATTATTGACATGCTATTTAAGGAGATTGATATGAATCAAATTAATGTGATGCTACTTGTTGATTATCGGCATTCGACATGGCATTCGATATGGTGGACCATTCAATTTTGTTAAAGAAACTGGAATGCTATGGACTTGATGGTGCTGCTGTGTCTTGGTTCAATTCCTATCTCTCGGGGAGGAAGCAGTATGTATATTATAAGGGCACATCATCAACAACTAGGGATATTACTGACGGAGTTCCTCAATGGTAAATTCTTGGCCCTCTCTTGTTCCTGATTTTTATTAACGATCTTCCTTTATACACTCAATCACAAACTGACTAATTTGCCGATGATACCATTGTTATTGCATTTAGTGATCGAGACCAGATTCAGGAGCTGCAAAATAAGGTACAAAGGGAAATGGCAAATGTCGATGAATGGGCAACTTTAAATAATTTACCACTGAATGCGGATAAGACGAAGATTATGGTTGTTGGTGGGAAACGTTCTACTGTTTCCACAGGCATTGATATTAACTTAAATGGCTCAAACATTTCTCAAGTGAGTAACGCTAAACTTCTGGGTGTGGGAGTTGATTCAGAACTGTCGTTTGATAATCACGTTAATTCTACTTCAAAGAAAATTTCAAAGCGACTTGGAATTTTGAAGCGAGTCAGCTCTTCCAATTCCTGAAAGAGTCTTGTTCTATAATGCAATGATCAAGCCGTTGTTCATGTACTGTAGTGTTGTTTGGTCTAATTGTAGACAAGACAACATATTGAAACTTTTCAACAGAAGCGTGCCGCCAGAATAATTTTAAATTTGGAACCACGGCATCCGTCTATTGATGCATTCAATCAACTTAATTGGATTCCTTTTTATGTCGAATCAGATATCAGGAGGTGCATGTTGGCGCATAAACGTATTAATGGTGAGGGACCAGAATATCTGAAAGATTTGCTGGTTTTGAATAGCGAAGTGCACTCTCGTTCCACACGTGGTGCAGGACTGTTATTTAGAACGCCGAAATATTATCGTCAAACTGAGGGTGGTAAAAGGTTTTCAACATGCACAAGTAAACTTTGGAACAGTTTACCGCTGAACATAAGATCCATTGCATCAGCCAAAACATTTAAACGGTCTATTATTAATATATTTTTAGAATATCAGAAAGAACATAAACATTTTACTACTTTTACTACAATATTTTCAAATTATTAATTTTGTATTTTAGAAATCTTATTTATGTATATATTGTTTAGTTAATCTAGTATGTATTATTGTAATATTTTATTGTATCTGAGGGCCACAGGTTTGTTAGTGTGAATTCACTATTATGCGCTACCCTCGTAAAATAAAGTTTTTCATTCATTAATTCATTCTTTCGCAGGTCTCGTTCTTCCACATCCTCGGGTGATAACTCCATAAGATAATTTGCTTTACCGAAGATCATCATGTTCGGCGTCAACACGGGAAGTTGAATGTCATTCTCGCAGTACGATAGTGGTCGATTGTTCAATACGAGCTGGATATCTAGCATCACGTCTTGCAATTCTTTGAAGGTAAGTTTTGCCGATCCTACGACCTTGTAAAGAGCTTGTTTCACTATGCTAACCATTCGTTCAAACATTCCACCCCACCAGCTAGCTTTGCTTAGATTGAACTGCCATTTCACACCATGTT